TTGTATTTTAACTATATAGTTTAAAATTAACCATAACTATTTCAACGAAATAGTTTATTTTTAACTATAGCTACTGTTTTTAACTTATCGGAGCCACTGGGTTTAGATGCCCACATACGTACCTCCATACCTAATTACACACCTACCTACCTACCTGCCCACCTACCTACCTACCTACCTACCTACCTACCTGCCTACCTACATACAGACACCATATGGGAGTTTCCGAAAATAGGGGACCCTCATATAGTACCCTAAATAATAGGATCCTTAATATAAGGACCCCAAAATAAGGTACCCCAATATTCGGAAACCCCCATATGGTGGCCTTTGCCTGAGCGTTTTTGGATCCGTAACTCCGGCCGGCATGACGCGAAGAAGTCGTCCGGATGGCGGCAGAAATGCTGCTCCAGGGGTGCATCCTCGGCGTCTGAGGGTTCAGGGTTTAAGGTTTAGGGTTCAGGGTTTGGGTTTAGGGAACTTCAGCCGTTAACCCCAAGATGATCGTCATCATGTCTCTCCCTTGGGCTCCAATTACCCACATACAGGGTTACTGGGCTATATATTATATGCTTAGTAACCTACTATTTAAGTGAATGGAGCCCTGGGGTCTGTCTGGAGAAGCATTCCTGCATGCCAGCTTTCATGTCGTGTGTGGCAAATGATGCGATAAGTCGTGAAGCAAACGTTCGTGAAGCAAACGCACCATAGGACATCCCACGCCTCTTCGATGCATTGCCCCCGAAACTGCACAACTCCTCCGAAGATCCCCGAACCTGTCACACCTCAAATCCTAGGCCAAAAGCCTGTAAAACCTTCACAAGCCTCAAACCCGAAGCCTTAACAACTTGAAGCCCCCGGCAAGCCCCAACGTGTCACTCAATGTGCGGTCGCTCTTTACCGATGGGGCTGCAAATTCTTGACGCGGCAGAGCCTATCCTGAGAGCCTTATGCCTAAGCCCTGAACCCCAATCCCTGAATCCTTCGAGCCTTTACACAGAAAAGGGGCTCACTACTTAGACTAGGGGGGGGTGGGTCTAGGGGCAATACTATACCCCTCTGTTATCATGTATTGTAACATGTCAAACAAAAAAGTAAATTAGTGGTATATATATATATATATAATATATATATATATATATAAACACATTCATATATGTATATATGTATATTAAATTACAGGGTACCAACAGCTCAGCAGAGCCCTGGACCATGGCGATGAGAATCGCCGTGGAGGGGCGGCCGCGACGCCCTTAGCAACTTTGCTAGGTTGATTTAGTTTGGGCTTACGGCTAAACCCTAAACCCTAAACCCCAAACCCTAAACCCCAAACCCTAAACCCTAAACCCTGAACCCTAAACCCTAAACCCCATACCCTAAACCCCAAATGCTTCAGGGCTTAGGGTAGAGGTATCAGGGTTCAGGGTTCAGGGACCCCGAGAGCCTGTCATCCCTAGGGTTTAGGGTTTAGGGTTTAGGGTTTAGGGTTTAGGGTTTAAAAGCTCCAAGGAAAGAACCGAGAGCTTGGATCTTGTTGGCAAGTAACCTAATGCAAAATAGGGGCCTTCTTTCCTTCTTTCGGGCAAAAGTAAACCAGGCCCCTTGCTGCTAATATAGGGGCCTTGATAATTAGAATTGGGTTTTGGGGTATATTATACTACAATTCGAATAAGGAGGAAGTCCCCCCAAAAAATAGTATTGGTAATTATTCAGGCCCCTCTAGTAGTTCTTAGGTCGTAAAATCTCTTATCAGGCTCGGGATGTCTGGCTTTGGATCGAATCCTTCGAACTTGGCTGAAGAGATGGGTAGTATAAGGGAGCGCTATTGCGAATCACTTTGGGCTTCTATAGTAATGTAGGGGCCTTAATAATTAGAATAGGGTTTTTGGGGCTCCTTATTTCTGTTTTAGTATAATATACCCCCAAAACCCTATTCTAATCATTAGTATTATTATTACGGCTTCTATATTGCCCCTGCCAAACCAAGATGAACATGTATGTTGGTCATCGTACACGACAGACGTTTGTTGCAGGTCCGACTCTGGAAAGGGGTTCATGTTGCTTTTGGGGGGATGTAGGAAATCCCCAGACTACGGTAATGGGATGAAAAAGGAGGGCCTTATGATCACCCAAACCCTGCAAGCTCTGTAAGACCCTGAACCCTCAACCAAATGCCTAATTATAAACCTTCGGGATAATCCCAGCAGTCACGATCATTCCGAACTATGTTTTCATGGCAATTTCCTAAAACCCTACCTGATAAACCTTGTGAGTTCCCGTATGTTGTTTTCATTCGGAATCCCACCAATCATGATTATTCTGAGACGTGGTTCCATGACCACGTCCTAAACCCTATAGTTTCGACACATGGCGACAATGCTGGAAGGAAACAAAACCCTCCGCCAAGTCCTTTAATCCCAAGCAGATTTTCATCCAACCACTCTCGTGCCTGCGCGGCCTGCCTGTTGCCACACGGACCTCGTGTTGCTGGGGCATGGCTTGGGCTTTTGGGTCTAGTGGCGTTAAAGGTTTATAGGGTTCAGTTTCGGGGTGTGGTATTCTTGCGCTTGGGGCCGGGGGTGGCCCCACCGAGTTCGGAGGTGACTGGGGCTTCAGGTGGAAAAACATCAACCAGCAAGGCCCTCAGCACACTTCGACATCGCTTTTGCCGTATTGTCCTGACATCTGACCTCGATATCATCAACCGCGGACCATGATCTTTACAGTCATCGGTTTCACCGTCGTACTCATAATCACCATCTCTCTAGTCGCCAGCACCATCTTAATCTTCACCAGCATCACGGCGATGATGATGAACATGATGATTATGATGACGATAGTAATAACCGTCAACACCGTCTTCTTCCTCAACATCATCGTCACCATCACCATCGTCATATGGTCAGCAACGACATTGTCGCCATGAGCATACGTATATTAGTTCACCATCGTGCACAAGGCCGGCTTTTGAAATTTGGCCTCTTATCCGATAGTGGGAGTCTCCGAAAATTAGGGGTACCTTACTTTGGGGTGCTTATAATAAGGATCCTACTATTTAGGCTGCTATATTAGGGTCCCCTATTTTCGGAAACCCCCAGGACATCCACATACTCTTGATCCACCCAGGCCCGAGCGCAACAGTCGGCGGCACGCCCACATGGAGCGTCAGATCCAAATCCCCGATGTCAATGCCCAGCCTGGGTAATTACTCGGAGGTTCAGGGAAAGTTACAAATGGGGTTCTAAGTAGGGTAAGTAAAATTATAACCCAATTTAGGGGACTTATAACCATACTTATAACTACCCATGAACCTCCAAGTAGAGTACCGGGTGCCAGGCTTTGCGGTTAAAGATCTCAGCATACTACGTTTTCACTGTCTGCTTGAAGTTAAACCAACCCTAAAACCTCAACCATAGACCCTAAGCCAGATATTCAGTGCGCTGTCTACGGTCCAAGCTGCACCCCTGGATCTTCCTAAGAAAACGGAATCATAAGCACACACTCCACTTGCTTGTCATTCTCTCGCGGTGGCTTCAATTTCGAACTGCTGTCGAACAGCACTACGGGGTAGAAGACTGGCAACCATAAAAAGCAGGGCAGGCATATCAACACAAACAAACCTAAACACAGCCGCAGCAGCCGAAATCACTGACACCAACATCAAACATTTACTCGCTAGCCGTCAGAACACAGCCGCATTGTCCACCCAGGAACTCCGAAATCCGCAGAGAAACCCCCTCCCCCATGCGAGGCGCAATGAAGGGATAACATAGGGGCCTTAATAATTAGAATAGGGTTTTGAGGCCCGTTATACTATATTTGTGAAAAGGAACCCCCCAAAATAGTATAGGTAATTATTTAAGCGCCTACACTATTGGGGTCTCCAAAGGTGATGGGGTCCAATTGCGAGGGAGATGCTCCAGAGCGTTGGTGGCGATCACACCTCGGCTCTAGGTTTTGGGGTGTAAGGTTTCGTTGTTGTTTTTAGTGTGCAACGGCCCCTAAAAAATGGCTAATGTTTTTTTTTATATTTTTAACTGCAATGGGCGCCCCTTTTCTGCTTTGGGGGTTTAGGGCAAAAGGTCGAGGCTTTGGGATTGGGGGTGTAAGCCCTGAGCCCTCAATTCCAGAAACCCTAAACCCTAAACCCTGAACCCTAAACCCTAAACCCTAAACCCTAAACCCTAAACCCTAAAACCCTAAACCAGGCTTTGGGATTGGGGGTGGAAGCCTGGGTGCTTGGCTTCGGGGATCTACGGTCTGAAGATGGCAGCTGTGGGTTGTTCACGGTTTAGGTTTTAGGATTTAGGTTCGGGTTTAAGTTTTAGGGTTTAGGGTTCACGGTGTAGGTTTTAGGGTTTAGGGTGTAAGTTTTAGGGTTTCGGGTTTAGGGCTTAGGGTTTAAGTTTTAGGGTTTAGGGTTTAGGGTCTAGGGTTTAGGGTTTAAGTTTCAGGGTTGAGGGTTTAGGGTTTAGGGTTTAGGGTGAATCTTGGCTCAGAGTTTAGGGCTGAACCCTAAAGCCGACACCCAAAGCCCTCAAACTGCTTAAGGTCTATGGCTGAGCCCAGGACCCTAACCCTAAACCCTAAACCCTAAACCCTAAACCCTAAACCCTAAACCCGAAACCCTACCTAACCCCTGTACGGCTCATGAAAGAGAGACCCGAGTCCCCTCATAATTTGAAGCTGCGAAAGTTGGTTTAGGGTTTTAGGGTTTAGGGCTTGTCAGGGTTTAGGGGTTCAGGGCTTAGGGCTTCAGGGTTTAGGAGTTTAGGGGTTTAGGGATTTAGGGTTTACTGTTTACAGGTTTAGGGATTTGCGTTTAGGGCGCAGGCTTCAGGTTGAGTCTTGCCCGTAAGCTTAGGGTTTAGGGCCGTTGCTTTCCAGGGTTGACCGTCCCTCCAAGCATGAAGCGGCCCTAGGTTTTTGAATAAGATGCAGGGGTTTAGGGTTTAGGGTTTAGGGTTTAGGGTTTAGGTTCAGGTACTATGGCTATAATAAGAAACCCTCAAGAATACTGCAACTACCACACTGGACATTATGCTCTGCTATAGCTATAATAAGAAAGCCTCAAGAATAGTGTTACTGCGACATCCGACATTATTAAACTATACTTCCTACAGCTATGATAAGAAACCTCGGGAATAGTGTTACTACATCATTGGAAATTATTAAACCATACTTCCCACTGCAGCTATGGTAAGAAACCCTCACGAATAGTACTACTACATTGGACTGCCAACTCCCAAGAGAACTCTCCGAACTGTTAGGCTCCACGACGTATCGAATCCCCGACGCTCGACACACCGGGACACAACTCGGATTAATGTTTAGTGTCTAGGGTTTAGGGTTTCGGGGTTACAGTAACTAATCTTGTGCCCTTTGCCATGTAAGATTCAAAAAAGCTAGGAAGCTTAGAAAAGGTCTGCAGATGATACGTAGTGGTGGTGCACGGATCGAAAGGAGTAACCCCAATCACATCCCTACAGTATCTGCGAAGTCTTCGGAGAAAACACTGCCTACTGTTGCCTGAGGAAGCATCAGTCACTTTTCTGGACATGACTACTGGGAATGTTCTCATTACTGGAAGCCTCTTGCAGCTCTTGCTTTGGCAGCATCGATTTCTATCGGGCAATTAATTCAAGCGTGCCCGTGAAAAGGAGGATCTACGTATTAATTCATTTGCTGAGGTAAGGTCTGAGGAGTATATCCATGCACTCAGAGCACAAAACTTTTGTCTTGCTCGGCCAGGACCCCTGTTGGCCTGTGAAACGCTGGGCGTGTGTCAAAACCGCTGGCCCCCACAAGTTCTTCTCTTTTTGACGACACCCTCAAGCCTGAACGCTTCACCATGGTTTTGGTCAAGCTCTCGTGGACTCAGCGACTGCGTGGTATTATGATGCAGTACGTAGGGGGTTCGAGAGGGGAGAGGGCGTCTCGCAATACTTCAATGCGGAACGGCTGTGAGAATCGGGCGATTTGGAGGATTACGGATGAAAGCAGGCTTGTCAGTACTTGTATGACCCGTCTCCGTAGTTGTCTCTGCAAACCTCGTGAGACCCGATGCTGAAATTAGAATGCATGATGTTTCTATCTTTCAGAAATCAAGACGTATCATCCACGGGAACTGCGAAATGTCGGAGAAGATACTTCCCCGGTTATTGAAGGCACGTCGGGTTTTGACACTCCCCAACTTGGCACTATCCCCTAGTTCAATGCCGGAGCCTGATGAACAAACGGATTGTTCCCACACAAACTTGCTACGGACAGCAAGCGGATATGCTGTATTGTTGTGATCTTCTGAACTGATCAGTAACATCATATGACGATTTCCTTCCGACAATCCACATCCTCTCAATAGTCTAGAGACATAGCCCTTATTGCAAGAAGCATCCATATTGCCGAAACCTAGGATGACAAATTCTGTACGTAAAGATGGCAAAATCTCCGAATTCATGACACGGTGATTCGGGCTTCGATGCACTTCCAAGTTCTGCTTGCTTTGTTTTGCTGTGCAAGTTGGTCTATTCTTCGCTTGTTGCCAAAAGTCAGGTTTTTGTCATAATTGGAGCATCCGCAGGCAAATACAGTGAACATCGACCAAACCCTGTGGTGTCATTGACGTTGGAGCGTTTCTATTCGCATGGCTTTCGGTAAATTCTTAATCGAAGCCTCGGTAAGATCGTGTTGCATGAATGGTGCATGAGCAACAATCACGTAAGCAATCTTACTTGCTAAATCTCATAGTGTTCAGTGCCGCCTCATATTCACAGCCTTCGCTACGGCCAACAGCAAGAGGCTAACAACATCCGTGTCATCATGCTGCCGCACACGGTCCGAACACTAAGTGTCGAAGCTCCCCGTAGTGCGCCAGACACTTCTTAAACATATGCGCTTCACATCGTGAGTGGGACAAGCAAAACCGTTAGCTCGTTTCTATCCTTGCGAGCACGGAAACGAACAGCAAAATAACAGCGGCAACAATTACAACAACACCGAAATCGCCCGCCGTTGCCACTCAACTCACAAGAACCGCAACAAGATGCACAACAGCAGCAACAACAACAACAACAGCAACACCAACGAGCGCAGCATCGCTGACAACGGCAGCAGCAGTAGAAGCGAAGGCAGCCACAACCAACACAACATACCCCAAACTGCTCATCATCGGCACCAGCATCGTGAACACAATAAAGCTACGTCGTCACCAGAGCTAGCGCTACCTGAGTTTGTTATGCGCTGTGCAGCTGTTAGGCTAATCACCGGCGAAACAGTTCTGCCTTACACACTATCTCTTTGTTTTGCAGTGGGGTTGTGGAGGCCGGTTATATGTATCAAACATCTAGAAACCCTGTTCAGTTCGTTCAGGCTCCGAGCTGTGAACGAAGCACTTTTAACTGCTTCCTGTCTTTCTTGACCTTCTTCTCGAGCTTGGACAACTTCTTCTCGAGCTTTAACTTCTTGTCCTGCGCCTTCTTTGTCCGCTTCTTCTCCTTTTGTGCTTCGAGCTTCTCGCGTCGCTGCTTGGCTTCCGCGCGCTTCTTCTGAATCATAGCCTCGCTGATTTGGATGCGAGACATGCCTTTGTGGGGGTGCGGCTTGTTAGGCTTCTTTTGCGGCGGGACCTTCCTTTTCAACAGCGCAGCAAACCCGAACGTTCCGTGCAGAATCGGCTCCATTGCTTGTGATTCGGCGGGTTTTGAGGGCAGGGTTTGCTCGAGCCGGCTTTGAGGCACAGTGGAATGCATTATGAACATCAGAGTTTCAAAAGTGGGAGCAGGGTTTAGGATTCAAGGGTTTATCACTATCTTGGCATGGCCAACTTATGCTGTTCGTCATGTAGGGATCTTGTACATGTCGACATCACAGCAAGCAGGGCAGCTCGGGTCCCGGGCAAAGCAAGTCGCCAGTGAACAGACGACGCTCCAGCTTCCGCCTGTGTTTGCTTTTTCAGAGGTGTAAGACAGGAGGGCTCAAGTGAGTTGGGGTCTACAAACTTGGCAGCACACGGGGAAGTTGGGGGTCCAAGGTCTTAGATTTCCAGCTTTGGGACTAGAGCTGCTGGGACTTGGTGCACGCGCCTAAGGTAAGGCAGAGTTCCTGCATCTAGAATCTATAGACAACCCCTGATACCCGTCTTTCACGTGCATTCAAGCCTAGCAGTTTCTAGGCTGTCGTTTGTTTTGACGGAGTTCTGGAAAACTTCCAGGACACCACTATGGACTTGGTGATACAGGAAACCCCCAAGATAACCCTAAACTCCACCCCTAAATCTCCATCTTCCCTTGTAAGAACTGGCCCGTCGCGTCTGCCGCCTTTCCACAGCTGCGTAGCCGCCACGATATCCTGCTATACGTGCTTGCCTCAGAGGGGAAACGGGGCATTTTCTTAACCGCGAGTGAGATGTGAGCTTGTAAGAAGTCCTCGTGTTACGAACTGAACTTTACTACATTAGAAAATGGGTCTCCGCGAGTGTCAATTTTTGCGCAACTCCTCAAAACACTGAGGGTTCGGAGCTTCAGGGCTCGGGTTTAGGAGGTCTACATGGGACCTGGAACTTGGAAAGTAAAGAGGAATGGGCGGGAATATAAAGGCATATTCAGAAGAGTCCTGACCACAATGACGGCAAGAAGAACAATAGGCAGAAGAAGTGCAAACGTGGCCTTGCCAGGCGCTGACAACCACGAACGACGAGTTTAAATCTAACCCGTCGTAGTTGAACACATGCAGACTCTAAAGCCCTTTATACAAGTCTTATGCAAGCCCTTTATAATTAATTCTACCTATAGTCTCCATTGTAAAGTTCCTTTTTTGGTTTAGCCAATTTTACATTAAGGAGCCTAAACGGTAACCCCAAAAAGGAACTACAATGCGCGACTGCTCGGGAGCTGGCAGCTCCGGCCGATCCTCGAGATGCTTGTTCGTCGCCTGTGCTACTTGGGAGGAGAGGGTTTGTCCTATAATTACCGATATTTTGTCCGTAGAGTTCCTGCTACAAATATCGTATTCCTGAAAGAGTGGTTTTTCCTATGGATGTCACCAAGATTATTTGCTTAGAGGGCAGCTCAAAACCCTAGTCGCGGTGTTAAGGCCCTGGGAGCTCGCCTTGCCAGGCTGTTGCCGGGGTGTGCATAGAACTCTGTAGGGGCTTTAAGGCTTTCAGCCTTCTAGACGGGGCTTTTGAAAGTTCTGTATGGGTCCGGACAGGTCAGCATGGAGCTTGATGGCCTTTTGGCTCTGTGACTTTTGGTGCTCTTGCTGCTCGCTGCTTCTGGTGCAGCTGTGGTCGAGGTCGTCGTGGTCGGAATCTTGGTCGAGGCCATGGATGCATTCGTCGTCGTCAATTGCATTTCTCTCTGAAGGGCTTAGGAGTACTTCAACTGAAAGAGCATCTCGTCGAAGAGCGATACTACGGTCTGTTGAGGCTGCTGTCCTGCAAGGAAAATTTTTAGTCAGGAGTGAAAGTTTGGATAGCCGCCTTGCCTGCAGAACGATCTCAACCAGCGCCCGCACCTGGCTGCTGCAAATAGGGCTGGGTTGCCTCACTGGACTGAAGGTTTGCCGTTTACCCAATCGGCGAGGTAGGCTGCTCCGAGTACCTGCGTACGCGCTGAACTGCAGTGCTGTGTGGGCGCAAGGTGGCCGGCAGTTGCGTTTGACAAGCCCGAACCCCTCGAATGGGGAACCACAAGAGGACAGCAAGGGCGTGCCTTCAAGCCTGGGGCTTGGGACGAACATCGCAGACTTAGAGAGGGCTGTGCGGCTTCGGACTTTGACTTGCTCGGCGGAGCCTTAAACAACACAAACGCCTGAAACTGGAAATTCGCCTACCTAATCTCATGAAGCTCTGCCGAAAGGCCTGCAGAAAGCAAACAGTGCGATGCCCGCGGCGTGCCGCCTTCCCGGCGTGGTTTCGGTTGACGGCTCGAGGCCAGAACATCAGTTTAGGATTATATGTTAAGGGTTACTATAAGTAGGGGCTTTTCGACAGGCTTGCTATGAGACTTCCATGAGGGATCACAAGGATTTTCGTGTAGGGTTTTCGAATCAGTTCAAGGTTCAGGTGGCAGTAAACTGTGGCTTCGGGGCAACGTGGTGTGACAGAGTCCTTGCGCAAATTACATTTTAGGGTTGTCACTAATATAAGGATGTCCGATTGGTGATGCTCCATGGACGGATTCGAAGCGCAGACTGACACATTCCCTCCTCCTCCTCATCCTCCTCCTCCTCCTCACCCAAACCCCAACCCTGCGAAGATCCCTAACGCAATTCTATATAGCGGCATGTAGCGTCCTGAAGAGGAGGAATCCTGAAGTTGAACGATAATCCACAGATTCTGCGTGTACCAGTGTAGCGCATGTCCGAGACACCCTTCTACATGGAGCATGTTTGAGGGTGTTTGCTGATGCCAGCACCTGTGCCCAGCTTAAACCCGAAAGCATCAGATCATGCTTATACTCACCAGCAACAGCACCACAAGTTGCATAAAATCTGTGCAAACTATGACACGACGAGCCCTACACCTGACACACCACCCCAGAAATCAGATCTACAGACATCCAGCCCGTTGCAGCCTGGGAGATGATCCATGCGGCCTCGTCGTAGGAAGAGCCCCGCGTGCGGTAGCCTGTGCAGTGATTCCGGATGAAAAGATATAACCCTAAGGCTCCAGCTTCCTAAATAGCAGGTTACTGAGGTACACCGGAATAGTAGTAACCTACTCTGTTCATCAAGCAAGTGGAGCCCTAGGGATCTCGCTCGATCTTGTGAGCATGTTCAAGACTCAGAGAAAGCTGCGGCTGCAGCCTGTCCGATTTCCGGGCAACTAAAAGACATCCTGAACCGATTAAGCCTTACTACACAACCCTCGCCCCGACGCCTCAGCTCCTAACTGTATGAGTAGAAAGAAACCTCCCTCCCCCAAACCCGACACTTGTCGAGCCCTGAAGCCTTGCCCCCCATGCAATGTCCTTATTGCCTTATGCATCCTCTACACAACCCTGCAACAAAAAGGATGACAAAACACCCTGAAACCCTAAACGTCCATCCCTAAGCCCTCTAGAGCTTAACTTCAAACACCAAACCCCAAAGAAGAAGCACAGCTCTAAAGCTCTGAAACTCTGAAGCCCCATAACCCGAGAGCCCCAAAGGCGAACGCACCCGAAGCCAGTAAAAACCCATCAAAACCCCAAACCCAAAAGCCCAAAACCCCAAACCCCAAAAACCCAAAACCCTAAAGCCAAAAACCCAAAAACCCCAAAACCCCAAACCCAAAAGCCTAAACCCAAAAGCCTAAAGCACCGAAAGCGCGGACTCTCAGAGCCCGGCCGACGCCCGGGGGAAGCCGAGGAGCTGCCCCGTGCCCTTCCTTCTCGCCTTTCTTTTGGGTTTTAAGGCAAAGAAAGGGTTTAGGGTTTCAGGTTTCAGGGTTTAGGGTTTTGGGGCAAAGAGAGGGTTTAGGGTTTAGGG